TCCTAACCACTGAACGTTTGAGATGTTTGCGTTCTGCTTCATTAAGGATTTGTGATCAATCTGTTCATTTCTTCAGAAGTTGTTTTAACTCATATGACTTCTATACATATCGAACAGAGAAACGAGAGTAACCAACAACTGTAGAGATTCTGGAATTTGAATAGTCTAATTTTTTTGCAGCAATAATTCCCCCTTTTTGAACATTGCTAAGTTCTTTTTCGAGACACATTGTTGCAACAAATTTTTTCTCACTATATAATGTAAAAAATTTTTCGTATGCCCAAATGACCTCATTTATATATTACAATGATGTTTTGTTTATATTTTTAGTTAGATACAGTTACGCACAATTAAAAATAGAAATTATGACTTGATTCGGTAGAGGTATAATGACATGCGTCACTTTTGCATCACATTAACCAGGGTGGCCAATACTTTTTATACCTCCTTGTATATTTTCACGAGAAGCAATTATATAACTTAGTAAACCTTCTTAGATAATGCAAAAATATGTTCCCTTTGATGAAGTTGAATTACCTTTATAATATATTTAAAAAAAATAAAAAAATAAAAGAAAAGCATACAAATTGATCTACTAATTTAAATTTACTTATATATATAAGACGTGTCATATAATCATAACTTTATTATATTAATTTTAATTCCAAAAGTATTGTATCATGAAAAAATTGCTTATAAAAAAATTTTTTTAAAAAGTCACAAATTAAGTAATACTTAAATTTAAATACATTAAAAAATCTGACTACAGGCTTTAAATTAGTTTAAAATTTTAATTTTATAGTCACTTTAATTATTTAGATATCACGATCTAAAAATTAAAAATGAAATAGTATAATAATTATAGAAGTTATTGTATATTATTTTTAGATATTAGACAATGAATCAACAAAGTTTTATTATTGCAGAATTTTGATTTCATAATTTTTATATATAGTTTTTGGAAATTAAAACAATAAGCAATTATTATTCTAAAATTCTCACTACATAGTTATGGTAAATAAAATAAAAAAAATTAAAAAAAAAAGTCATGTGACTAATTTAATTTACATGTATAAATATCGCTGTATTTAATTAACATCAAATTTATAAAAATATTTCAACTATTATTATACCTCAATCTGATCATCAAATTAACATTATCAAAAAAAGTGAAATGATTCATAGTTTTTCTTTTGTTCATTCTCATTCATTAGATACAATTGCAATTTACAAAATAACTAAATTGTCAATATTACTAAATTCAATATATATGTTAACTTATAGACAAGAAATCAAATTATTTGAGTTATGGAATATTGCTAATGCAAATAATTCACTCAATAAAGTTATTAGCATGATTGTAAATAAGGATATTAGCAACTTTAAAGTATTTGTTAAAAAGGATATTATATATAAAGTTGTAAATAATGCTAAAGGTAAGACTTTATTTATTATTTTTAAATAATCATACAAATTTTTGAATGCTAATTATTTATCTTATTTTTAATAAAATTATATGATTTGAAAAATCAAAAAGAAATATCAAATAACATTTATAACCAATTTGATTACAACTATATAAACTTTCTTAAAGATGGAGATTTTATATTATTTAATATTCCTCAAGTTATTAAATACACACTATTAAATATAAAGTAAACTTGACCTAAAATTATTTATAAATTTAAGAAAAAAATTAATTATAGAATATTATAAATGATAAGATGTGATTAAAAATTATATGATTCTATATTTCTAATAGATTTAATTACTTTTCAATTTAGATAGTTTCTCTTTTTATAAGTATAACTTTTTTCATATGATTATTATTATAATAATAAAATAATAATGTTCAATTTATCATTATAAAAAGAAAATAAACCTAAATATTAAATAAATAAACTTTAAATTTTTTGCAAATTTAATTTTAATGAAAGTCAATGATATATGTCATATTTATTTCAATAATATTCTAGTTGAAAAGATTACAAATATAGATATGATTTTATGTCACCTTAATATATTTCTAATCCTTTATAATAAAATTATTTTATTTATTTTTTTGATTAGTTACTTAACAATTTGATTTTTCTGAAAGTAATGATGAACTTATAATTATATTATCAAGTATTAATACTATCAATATTTTACTTTAGAAATCAAAATTAGAAAAATCAATTATTAACTTTAGTGAATTATTTGAATCTGAAGATTAATTCAAACTTATTGAATTTAGAGGAAAAAAGACCTTTGGAATTTGTAATAAATAATCTCAGATTTAAAATTTCAGATAATTTAAAAAATTATAAAGTTAATGATAATATGAATAATTCAATTAATATTGAAGATAATAAGAATATAAACTTATTTAACAAAATCTTTTAATGGATTTAAATCAAAGTTTTAATGTTCTAATTCAAATTAAGAATGATTTTTTTGAAACTTGTATTTAATAAATCATGATATATATGAATATAACTTTGTATCAATTGAAGGAAGTCAAGGTTCAATAGTTTTAAAAGTTGTGATTAAAAATGAAAAAATTTTAAATAGCTTTGATCATATTGAATTTAGAAAATGAAAATATCAGATAATTAATAATTCATGTATTGTATATAATGAGAAAGTATTATTTATTTACACCTTAATTTGAGATCCAAAGAATTTCAAATGTATAATTATGATCTTAGATTTTTAAATATGCAATTAAGCATTATAATAATCATATATTGGATTATTCAGATATCTCTGAAATTATTAATCCATTTGAAAATGATGTAGATAATCTTAAATTATTTAGAAATTCAATTGAATAAAATCAGATTGACCAAATTAAATAAGTAATAGATCAATTATCTATTAAACTCAAAGTATTATTTTACTTTATATGGGAAAAAATTATTTAAATCAGCAATGAGCAAAATAATATAGATTTATTAGAAAAGTTTTTAATATTGAAACTTTTAAAGAAGATCCACAAAATAATATTTATATACCATTAATAATATGTAATAATATTCCATACTTAAATTACAAATATTCTGATTTTATTTCAAGATATTATAATAAAACATCATTAATGACCCTTTTTTTGAATCCAAGATTAATTATAACAACTTTGTCTTTGACCATCTTCATTCTTATACCCTAGAATCAAAAATTATTAAAATTTCTTATAAATATCTTTTATTCCTAATTTATTTTTTTGAAGAATTTCCAATTTTAATTATGTCATTTTATCTTTCTTTTTTATTCTTATTATTTTTTTAGGATTTTATTTTATCATATTATTGGTAGTGTTAATATTTATGTAGTAATATTAATAATTTTTAATCTAACCCTTTTATTAATACCATTAGATTTATAATATATTAGTTTTATCATACAAATAATGTTAATTGTAGATATTTTTATTTAAGTAAATCATTAATTATTTTATAATTGGAAAGGTATTAAACCTAGTTATAACTATATTAGTTATAATTTTTATAATAGTATGTATAATCTGAGTGAAGCAAAATATACTTACGATTTTATTGATAATTTTATACTTTTATCATGTTTCTATCTTTCCAAGTTTATGTGGCTTAGTGAATTTTTAAGCCTCAACCTAGTCTATTTATTGAAGTATATAATAATAATATTGAATTTTATAAATCATGAAATAGCGAATCTTTAATTAATTTTGAATAAACAAAATTCAAAAAATATTATTATGCTGTTATATAATCATTATATTGAGTTTTCTTAATTGCTTTGCACTTTTTTCAATAACTTTTATTCTTATTAGTTTTGGTTATCTCTCATATTGGGTCTATATTATCTTTTATTTGTGATTCGTCAATTTTTTTGGGATCCATTGAAGTGGTTGCTAAATATTTGGAATTGGTTTGGTATATTTGTTTATTTTTTCAAATACTGAATATTAGGACCATTGTTTTAACATAAACTTTTATCAGATTTTGTTATTTATTTATTGTCTATAATTATAACAATCCATTGGATCATAAATAAAAAAGATGCATCCAATTCTTATTTAGTTTCAATTGCATGTCTGATACTTGATATTAAATTTATACTTTTTTTCAAGTATTTGAATTATTGGAATTTATTTTGCTATTATAAATGGTATTGGCTACAGAATTGGTTCATTTATTATAATTCTTTTTCTTATTATTTTTAGTTTTACGCATGTTTTCAAGAATTTATTAAAACTAAAACAACCCTTTTCTCTGATAAATTTGGGAGATTTAAATGATAACAATAATCCTTGAAGATCTACAGAAAAATACCATTAAATTTCTGATGGTCTAGATGGAAAATATATTTCAAATTTTACCTTATATAAAGAGCCTGAAGAGTACACCAATTTATTTATAAATGTTTTCAGTTTCCTTTTGTTTTGTATCAATTCTTAACAGGTATATAATTATTAAATTATTATTTATTATTATTAATTAATCAATTGTTTAATATATTTTTTTATTTTTATTGCAAGAAATAATCCACTAAATACATGGACTCTTAATGACAATAAAACTTTGATTACATTGATGGTTTTATTTTCATTTATGGTTGTTATATACATTATGAATTTATTTATTAGACTATTAAATAAGGCGATTGACTTTGATAATGACTGAACACATTTTATAGCACAAAAAGCAGAAGTTAGCAGATGTTCAATATTCTGAATATTCTATCAATAATATTTATGATTTTATCTTATCTTCTTTTATTCTTATTCTTTTGGTATAGGTTATAAAGAAATTGAATTATTTTATTTACTTTCACATTAAAGACGTTTGAAATCATAGTTTTCTATATCACATAATTATTATATTTTCATTTATTCCCTTCAAAAATGAATTTACATGTACCTTAATTGTAATATTCACAAGTCAAATGATGAAGAATCGGAATGATATCAGCCAGTTAAGAATCAGGATCAAATCAGTTCTGATTTTTAACTAGCTGGTATTTTTTTTATCAATTAATAATCAGAATCCCGATAAGCCCATGGCTTTTATCTTATAAAAGACTGACTATTCTAAAGATATATCAGAGAATATTATACAATAAATTATATACCTTCCAGTATTCTGATAGTTATACAATATGTTAATGATTTTGCGATTATCTATTAAGTGATACAGGCAAAATGTTAGTATTTTATTTAAATAACTACTGAAGTTTTTATTTTGAAGAAAAATTCATATAAATTTTTCTTTATTAAAAGCAGAAAAAATAAACATATCAGTTCAACTAAATGTTATGATTTAATTATTTGTTTATTGTAAATATTGCATGGCACAGTATGATATATTAAAAATGAATCTTTCTATTAATTGATATTACTGTCATGTATTTTTGAGGATCTCTTTTGCCTACTAAAAAAATACTTTCGACAAATCGACCTAATATGCTATATACAGGAATAATACAATCTCTACTAATGTTATAAAACTCTTTCTTCCATAATTCAATATTGCAAGAACTAATATCATTATTAATTTGACAATAGAATCTAGTCTTATGATCTTCTGTCGAAAAATACCATCTCACAAATGCCAATGAATGTTTTTTAGATTCTCTTAAGTTTAGAAAATACACAGTATGTTTAAAATAATATTGAATAATACCAGGATAAGTATTCTTAAAATTGCCATCGATAAATTGTAATAATATCTTAGCTGAATTAATATGCTTTTTTGAATATGTTGATCCAAAAACTTCAACGCTAAGTTGTAACCTCCCATAAATATTTACCTTCAGAAATATTGGGATAGCATTAGATTGCGCAATATAAATGTCAAATAAAGCCACAAAATCTTCATTATAAGTATTACGATAATATTTAACTAATAAATCTAATATTTTCTTCATAAGGTTCGTGTCTATATTTTTTGAATTAAGAAAATTGCCCAGAAAGGACTCTGAACCTGTTTCTGCTCTTTCTTCCACAATTTTAGACATTGATAAGAATTCTAGGTAGTCCATTCCATTAAATTCATCTTGAATTGCGAGACTACTGGTAGCTACTTTAGGTGTTATTAATGGTAAGCAAGCTGATAAATGTGTATGGTCTTGGATGTATGATGAAAACTGGTTAAGGAGAGAGTTATGCTAAATCGTTTTTAATAATTCCAGTTCAATTCTTCTATTACTAGTATGATATGAACCTGTAAGACAAAATAAAATATTTTAATGACATAACAGTGTAAATTAAATAATAATTAATAAAATATAAGAGCATATATTTACCCAATAAACCATTTATTCGTTCATAATTAAAGTATCAAAATGCATATAGTGGACCATAGTCTAATATATATTGACAAATATGTAAGCATAAATGTAAATTTGGCATAATTTTTTCCAGTCCATAATTCTCTTCGATAAGCTTTACCATTGTTAAAAGGCGCTGGTGAGCTTTATTTAATCCATTTTTAGATATCAGTTTACATATAAGAAAGTTACACACACAGACAAAATTTGTAAGAATTATTCTATCTGTTTCTTGAAGTAAATCCCATATAATAAAAGTGGTGTAGACCAAGATAAAAGTCTTCCACTGGTCTGCAGTAAAACCTGAAAAACTTTCTTCAGTTAAAATTTTATATGGAATTCTACTGATATCAGCTGGAACCTTTATCTGCTTTGCCCTATTCTGTATCGTATCCAAGTCCTTTTGTGTTAATCACCCTTTTTCGATCTATAATCGCATCACTATCTATTTAGCAATACCCAAGAACAAATAATGCATAAGATCTATTATAAGGAATTATACAGAATCAAAATACTAGAGGCAGTATACTTCAGACCAACATACCAAGGTTTTGCGAACATAGATTTTTCTAGCATCTTTAGTATTGCAATCAAACTACCTGTACACATTTTTTCAAATCTGACTGATATCCCTTTTAATAAACCAATCATTAATATCAGAAAATCTTCCAAAATTGGATTGATTATGATCATCATATCGAGCCTTTTTTAAATATCTATAGTAAGCCACACATGTAGATATATGATCATATAATTTTCTTGCGATAGGAATGTCACAAGAACAGCATATTACTATAACTCAAATGGTCTTACCACTAGAGCTTTCATATGTTGCCGATAGCTCTATCCCATTTTATAATTCAATTAATTGATCAATTATTGGAGTCAAGTAATAGTTTAAATGATGTAGACTCAGCTCGTTTAGACTAGGAATCAAAGCTATTGTTAAAATATTTGATAGCTTAAATCTTTTATTTCAAGGGAGATTACAGATTACACCATATATAACTCCAACACTGTAATTAGTATTATCAAACGGTTGGAACCAATCAAGGTTCAACATAATACCCAAATGACGATCTGATACTTTTTTCTGGAAGAATAGTAAATCTTGGTTTGGATCTTAGAAGTCCTTCCAAATTCTTCTATCGTAGATATCATTTAGATATTAGAAATCGTTACATCGATTAGCCCATTTCTTGCATAATTCTTCAAATCCCTTCTGATTGTATATTAATTGTAATTAATATTTTAAACTGACTGTTGAAAATACCATAAAAGGTCTATGTATTATTCCACCTGTGATAGAAACTTTTTTAGTAAGATTGGAACCACATTTTTCTCTTTGATTTGTCATTGAATAATTCAAAAAATCTACATAAGTACATTGGCTTGTGATTGGAACTTGACTAGGTTCGTCAGTTAATACTTCTGCTACATTATACAATTTGCAGCATTTTTTACACGTGGCATATTTGATAATATGAGCACAAATACCAAGTTCTTTACGTGCTATATATAATGATGTAGGAAAAGAAGTATATTCATTCATATCCAATAGAATCAAAAGATATCTAATAAATATTACCAAAGAATTAGTAGCCACATTGGAAAGTCAGTATCTTTCTTGATATAACAAAATCTATAATACAATCCAATTAGAGTCTTTGCTATAATCGATAATAGGTACTTCTGGAGCATTGTCATTACCGTATACATTTTCTGACGCATCGAACCTACTGGATGATATTTCTTTGATATTATTATCATCCTGATATTCTTCACTATTAACTTCGCTACTTTCACTTTTATTATCATTATTGTCATCTGAAGTATCCTGTTCAATAACAACTACAGGATTAAAGATATTATTACTAACTCTTTTCAAATTGTTTTTTGATTGTTTCTTAAGAAGAAATGAATAATTTTCTTCATAATGAACTAGTTCGATTTCTTGATCATTATCACTTAATGTGTTAATAACGTCTGGAAGATCTATTGATGTATCTTGTGTTAATGAATTCTGATTTAAATCTATAGGTATATCATCAATAATTCCTCTTGACCTAATATTCTTTTTTGATTCATGACTTTTTTTTGTATGTAGATCAACCATCTGACCTTTGCATTTATTACAATTACATAGAACCTTCTTTATTCTACTGGAAGAATCAGATGGATTACTAGAATCCTTCACAAAAGATTTTTTAGTTTTTTGATGTTTTTTGAAAACATTGTAAATTCAATAAATTTATTATAAAAACTAATAATCAAATAAAGATCATAATGTAATTGTTACCAAATAAAAATCATTACTAAAATGAATACAAATAGTAAATTAAAAAAAAATCAAAACTAAACTATATGTAGTTAAATACACGAGATCATAACACATGTGAACATTACATTTATATATAAATAATTTAATTGTAAATCAAAACTAAACTATATGCAGTTAAATACACAGGATCATAACACATGTGAACGTATGTGACCATTACATTTTTTATATATAAACAACAAATTGCTCAAAAATAATAAAAGTATAGTGAATTTTACTTTCAATATTCTTATCGTATATAAGTATAATTGATAGTATGATTAGTAGTCTAATAATATATATATATATATATATATATAGTTGGCATAAGTGGCATGTCGATATAATTTTTTTCCTTTATCATTTTTTTATTTGTAAAGGAAAGAAATAAAGGTATAAAAGCATTATTTTTTTCTCCAATGAACTCAACGTTTACACTATCTTTTAATATTCTTTAACTTATTATTATTACCTGTCATAAATTTTGATTGTTTTGAACAATATGTATAGTCAAAAACTTAAGATTACTGTAAAAGACGTTTGGCATCTCTAAATTCATATAATTATCGCAAAATGTTACTATGAAGATACTGTCATTTATCTCATGTTACAAGAAGTGATGAATCAAGATACTCTATAATCTGATCATTGAGATATAGTTCATCACTTTTATCATCTGTCTAAAAAGGATATTCATCAAGTAGTTTAAGAGAATCTCTAAGACCTAGAAGAAGTCGTTCATCTAACACATATTTACCAGGTAGTCAAAGTGGTCGTTCACAAAGAAGTCATCATTTATGATGTAGTTATTCACAAAGTAATTAAAGTAGAGAAGAATGTAGTCGAAGAAAAGAAGAGTCAACTTATCAGGGTTCAAGTGCTAATAAAAATAATGATACTATTAATTCAATATTAAAAATGGTTATAAAAGTGAATCAATAATATCATATACTCTTAAAATTTTGATCTTTTTCAGATATTGAAGCCCTAAGTAAAGTCGTTAGTATGCTTGTTGAAAAGGTTCGCATCTTTAAATCTTTTAGCTCGACCAGCTATCAACCTGAAAAAAAAGTTCAATCAATGCTTCCTAGACATGTATCAATATCTCCAGAACCTGAAGGTGATTACTATCGTTATGCTCGAGTTATGCTTAAATATATAGACAAATAACAATATAAGTTGTTTCATGTAAATATCAGATAATTATCTGTTTGTTGACAAAATTGTGAAGTTCTAATTTATTTCTTTTTTAAATTAAATTAAGGACGAAGTTGTCTAGATCCTTAATGGTCTTGATAATTTACTTCAACTAGATCACACTAAAAAATAAATCGAGATCGCTAAGAATATTTCAAAATATATAATAAAAGTGATCGATAAGGCTATGGAGGAAGGTTCTGGTACAAAGATATAGAATTAAAATGGGTTTTGCAGCAATTACATTGATACCATCGTAAAAGTTAGAAAACAAATCAAAATCCAGATAAAGTAAAATCAGAAAAAAGACGAAAGGGGATCAATTCTCGTAGAGGTGATGTAAGCATAATATCCTCTGTATGACCTATCGGATAATAATTTCATTGCTAATATTTATTTATTTCATATAGAAAAAAGAATGATGTCAAAAAGGACTATCATATATGTTCAATATAAATGATAATTCACTTGAAGAAATTAAACCATCATTTTTATCTCTCAACAAGTTTAAAAAAGATTGTGAATCCCTAATTAAGAATGGAGGATACCATAGTGATGAGATTTCTGAAACTGATGATGATCTCATTAAAGAAGAAATTACGAAATTTATTTAGCCTAAAAATAAAAAGGATATGGATAAACATGTCTTTTATGTTTATAATTATAATAAATCATGAAGGTCGCGTCGTATAAGTATTGGATATTTTGAATTATATCTTTCATTATTCTTTATTGATTTATTAGATTTATTACTTCTTTTATTTAAATAGGTTCACGATTTACTTCAAACAGCAGATAAAGTTAGTGAGAAAATTAGTTACATAAAGATTTCATGTCGCTGTTGGTATGTAGATAGTAGATGGTGTGACAAATCTAAGCTACTGAAAGATGCTTTGAAGTGGACAATATCACATACATACATTTCTGAAGATGATTTTAATCAAGGTAGCGGTGTTACTGATAATTAATAAATCAGTAAGAATAGCGCTATTACTAATTAAGATTTATGGGTACAATAATGTATTTTAATATATTAATTAGATATGTAATTTAAATAAATATACATGTTACTATATGTGCTATATAATAAAGAATAATGTAAATTTCAGTTTTATTGATATTTAATATTTGAGTGATACTTGTGACATAATGTCTAAAATTAGTTAAATCATCAGAAATCGCTAACTTATATATGCATGATTGGTTAACGATGTGACGGGTAAAATTTTAGATAGATTTAATTGGTAGAATATGAAGTCCATTTTATTGCCATGTAGATCTTTTATGAAGAT